AAATTTTGGGTTAATCAATTTGAAGGTTTAGGTTTGCTAGAGAAATTTAGTACTTATGTCCAATTACAAATATATATTATAATGTGTTAGCAAATCACGACTAGTTGAATTGTTATATATATATATTAAATGATCTTAACTTAAACCAAGTTAGGAAAAAACAAAATTACGTGTTCAACTTCGAATTGACAATTGTTAACATTATATTGGTCATTCGTATGTCAACTAACAAAAGTTATTCAAACTAATAGAAAAACATAACAAAAAGGTTATTTTACTCCAATTTTCAATTGTATAAAGTCGGTTATGAACTATATCTAGATGCAAGGGTTATGGCGATAATTTTTTTAAAGTATAGGGCACAAAGTGTATTAAATCCATCTTTTTAAGTCTTCCATAGTCATGCTTTGAAATTCTTCTCTTTTTTTTTTTTTTTCATAATCATGCTCTAAAATTCCTCATTTATAGAGAATTTTATTTATATTAATTTTGCTTATAATTTGTTTGCAATTATAAAAGAAAATAATATATTTAATTTTTTTCTTTTGAACAAACATGAAATTGCAAACCCGAATTTTCATCCATTCATGATATCCATCTCGGTGTCTTCAAACCATAATAACATTTTATTGCTAGGCACCCATAATCCCACATAGGTTTTTAATGAACAAAAAAGCATAATTTCTTATATCTTACTCTACCCGATGTTGCTGAGGAAGAAAAGCAAGACGAAGAATACAACATAAGTAATGCATTGTAGCAACAAACAACTTATTAAAGATTTTTTGCTCAATTGTAGTAAGAGAAGAAGAAAATTTAGGGTTAATCGATTTGGAGATTTAAGTTTGCTAGAGAAATTTAGTTGTTATGTCTAATTACACATATATATTGTATTGTATTAGCAAACCACGGTTAGTTGAATTGTTAAGATCATTTAAAATTGATATATATATATATATATATATATCAATTTTAAATGATCTTAACCTAAAATAAGTCGAGAAAAAACAAAATTACATTTTCAACTTCAAATTAACAAGTGTTGACATTGTATTGGTCATTCATAGGTCAACTATTAGAAATTAGTTAAACTAATAAAAAACATAACAAAAAGGGTTATTTACACCAATTTTCAATTGTATAAAGTCGGTTATGAACTATATCGGGATGTAGGGGTTATGACGATAATTTTGTTAAAGTACATAGCACGAAGTGTATTAAATCCATCTTTTAAGTCTTCCATAGTCATGCTTTGAAATTTTTCTCCTTTTTTTTTCATAATCATGCTACGAAATACCTCATTTATAGATAATTTTATTTATATTAATTTGTACTAATAATTTTTTTGCAATTATAAAAGAAAACAATATATTATAGTTAAAATTTTCTTTAAACGAGTTAGATCTAAATTTATATTTGAGTTTCTAAAAAATAGATATTGTTCTTTTTTTCTTTGTATTAATATTTTGAATCTAATAGTCTAGATAAATTTTCAAGAAAAAAATTCAATATATATTTTTTAAAAGACAAAAAGTTTAATCGATAGTATATTTAAGTCTCATGCTTTTTATCATGTGCATGTTAAGTTTGATGGACTTTCTTACGGAAGGATGTATGTTTGATAGTTTAGATAACTTCACAGAGGCATCATGTGTTTGCAATAGGGTAAATCAAAAATTAAAGAAAAAAGGAAATAAAGTGAGTTATATTGTCTATGTATTATAAGCAATTTCTTAACTAAGTTTTTGTATCAAATTAAGTGTTAATTGGACTTTTATATTGAGTGAATTTGTTTAATATAAGTAATCTATTAATGATTCAACTAACTATATTAAGTTAATAGCATAATTAAAAGACATGTGTCATTTGACCATTGACTCCCTTTTTTTTCATTTTTTATTACTTAAAACATTTATAGAAATTGTAGATTTTTTTTTTATAATTTGTATAAATAGATTTGAAGATTTGGATTTGTTAGAGAAATTTAATAGTTATGTACAATTACAAATATATATTGTATTGTGCTAGCAAACCATAGTTAGTTGAATTGTTATATATATATATATATATAAACCTTAACTTAAAACGAGTCATGAAAAAACAAAATTACATTTTCAACTTCACATTGACAAGTGTCGACATTGTATTGGTCATTCGTAAGTTAACTAACAAAAATTAGCTAAACTAATGGAAAAACATAACAAAAGGGTTATTTTATACCAATTTTCAATTGTATAAAGTTGGTTACGAACTATATTTGAATGTAGGAGTCATGATGATGATTTTGTTAAAGTACAAGGAACAAAGTGCATTAAATCCATCTTTTAAGTCTTCCATAGTCATGCTTTGAAATTCTTCTCCCTCCCTCTCTCTCTCTCTCTTCCATAATCATGCTCTAAAATTCCTCATTTATAGAGAATTTTATGCATATTGATTTATGCTAATAATTTGTTCTCAATTATAAAAGAAAACAATACATCGTAGCTCACATTTTCTTTGAATGGTTAGATCTAAATTTATATTTGAGTTTCTTAAAAACATACACTGTTCCTTTTTTTTTTTCCTTTGTATTAATATTTTGAATCTAATAGTCTAGATAAATTTTCAAGAAAAAAATTCAATATATATTTTTCAAAAGGTAAAAAGTTTAATCCTATAGGATATTTAAGTCTCATGCTTTTTATCATGTGCATGTTGAGTTTGATAGACTTTCTTATGGAAGGATATGTATTTGATAGTTTAGATAACTTTACAAATCACCATGTGTTTGCAAGATGATAGTGCAAGGAAAAAAAAGAAAGAAAATAAAGTGAGTAAAATCATTTATGTATTATAAGCAATTTCTTAACTAAGTTTTTGTATCAAATTAAGTGTTAATTGGATTTTTATATTGAATGAATTTGTTTAATATGAGTAATCTCTTAGCTATTCAACTAACTATATTAAGTTAATAGCATAATTAGAAGACATGTGTCATTTGATCATTGACTCCGTTTTTCTTCTTTTCATTTTTTATCACTTAAAACATTTATAAAAATTATATATATTTTTTATAATTTGTATAAATATTTTAAGTGATAAAAATGGAAACAATAAAACCCAACGAGGTCAACAATGAAATGACATGTGTCATTTAATTATGCAATTAACTTAATACCATTAGTTAAATTATCAACGGATGACTCATATTAAACGAATTAATTTAGTATATAAAACTAATCAACTCTTAAATTTGTATGAGGATCTCATAAAAATAAAAAAATGTATGAGGATCTGATTAAATAATTCCTTGCAGGATCTTCCATTGGTTGGAAAGGGTAGGGGAAATGGGAAAGAAAATTTTGTTGCTAGGCCCATTCGCCATTTCCATGCTCTCCAAATGCGTACAGAAATTAATGAGAAAAGTGCAACAAAAGTCTTCTTTAATTCTTACTTACCTGTTTTGGCCCTATTCCATTTTTTCACGCACATTTAAATTTATAGACAAACTTACAATTTAATTTTAATTAATTTTTCTTTTCTCCTTCTTTATAGTTTTCAAATACAGTATTCTCTTTTTTATTCTCTATACTTTCACCCCTCCCAAAAAAGATGGGATAGAAAATAACATCGTTTAGTTTTCTCATTTCTCCCGTTTTTATTATTTTCCCCTTCTTCTCTTCCAAACAAACAAAGTTTTAGAGTGTTACCATTGTTTGATTCTTTTTTCACAAATATATAATTGATAAATGTTGAATCATATGAGGGCATGTGGAATTTTTTTTATTTGTTTGTTTTTTAGAGAATAAGGGTAGGTGGATTGGTTTCTGTTTCTCCCTTAAAAATAAATATCAGCTTCCAGTAGATTTTTGGGTATTGTTAAGAGCCCCTGAAAACACACACGGTGGATCAAGTGGGGGAGTAGCCGGAAGCTGGTCTCAGGAGTTCCACTTCAACGATTTTTCTCCATTTTCAAAATGGAAGGGAAGGAGCTTAGTGACATCGCTGTCAGATATTTTTTAAGTACTGTAATAAATATATTTTCAGTCCATTCTGTCTTTTGCTTTTTCTTTACAGTGGTGGTGGTGACTAATATTTTCTCTGTGTCTCGAGCATGGTAATAAAGAAAAGATAAAATTTGTATGGGGCCCGCTGCTTCCAGTGCTGAGTGTGCTTGACAGAAGCATCTCTCAGAGTCGATGCCCCTATACCCCACGCGCAACCTACGGTCAGTTACTTGGTCCATGACTCTATTCCTCGGTTATCATCTGGATGAAAATTGCACGGGCCAGTAAGCGCGTTGGGTGAACTGGTCTTCCTTGTTCCTTTCTTACTGCGTAAAGGTCACCACTGTCAGTAGCTCTCAGACCCTTCCCAACAACTCAAATGGTGGAAACTAAACGACACCGTTGGATTTGACAATTGAAACGACGTTGTTTAGTGGGAAATCCCAATCCTAGAAGTCTGTTAGAATCGCCATCTTTCTACTAATTTGGCTCGCAAAACTGAAAAGCAACGTCCCCAAGAAAAATAAAAAAAGAAACCGAAAAATGAGAAAAAACTAAGTGTCTCCTTGGGGCGTTTAACGCTTCTATCTATGCCTTTGTATTCTTGTTTGTGTGTGTCTGTCCGTTCGACAATTCCAGGTTTTAATGAATGAAGTGGCTTAATCGATCCACTCAATTTCCAAGACTTCCTTAAAACGCATACAAATCTTATGTTTCTTGCCTCTTCTAGGGTTTCTTTCTTCCTTTTTGTTCACTCTCCTAGGGTTCCTTTTTTTTTTTTTTAAAAAAAAAACCAGAATAAACAAAACCAAAAAAAATAAAAGCAAAAAATAAAAAAATAAAAAATAACAGCTCTCAAAAGTGGTTGATTAGTATTTTTGTTTTCATGAAGTGGTGATTGGGATCGGAGTGAAAGAAGTCAAGATCTCAGGTTAATTGTGAAGATATCAGGTTCGATCGAGCATTTGTTGGTATGGTAATTAGAGTTAATCGTGAAGAATTAAGGTTTCAAAAATGCATTTCACAAAGCTCGACGACTCTCCTATGTTCCGCAAGCAGGTCTTAACTCTTGCCTTCTCTCTCTGTCTCTCTCTGTCTCTCTCTGCTTTGTTTTGTTAGAGCTGAAACTTTGTTAATTTATTGTTGAGAGAGGATGAAATAAAATTGCCAGCTGCTTGCACTTAGTGGCGTCCTTGTCTTTTCTCAAAGGGAAAATAAATTTGAACGTTTTATTAGTTAATTAATTTATTGTTAATTAGTGGGTTATCTATGTAAGGAATTTGGAGTTTAAGGAACGCTAATTGATTATTTGTTGTTGTTTTAAAAAGGAATTTTTATTTGCGGAATGGATATGATCATGTAAGGTTTGTACTAGTAATGTTTTAGTAATTTGCCAGATTTTTAGGAAAAAATAGATCTGCATTAATAATTAAGCGTTTCAATCGCTGCTATAATAAGTCTCTTGCGGATGCTTTCCTTTTTGTTTTTCCTTGTTCTCTGCAATATATATTTTTTGGTTATCAAATTTATTTTCGTAATAATTTGCTTGTTCCATAGTATAATGGGCTTTTGATCATTTCTTTGGTGGAACAGATACAATCACTGGAGGAAGATGCTGAATCATTGAGGGAGAGAAGTTTAAAGTTCTATAAAGGATGTAGAAAATACACGTATGTTTTCTAAGTAATGGTTTTTGCTTTGATTGTCATTATGTAATGAAAAGCTTCTAGTCATGGTATTCTAAATATCGAGGGAACTGAAGTTTTTCTACTCCATTAGGATGCAGTTGGAATTTCTTTGTAGTGTTGTATATTGGTATTTTTTTTGTTGCCAGTTAGTGGAAGATACAACTTGGAACGCGGAATGCCTTTTATAATTCATGTTAGCTTGTCAGTCTTTTCCCTGTGTCATTTGCTTGAATTCCCTCGTATGCTGATATTACAATAAAGAGAAATCTTCTCATTGTTTTAGACGAACTTTGATAGTTAAATAGCTCAGCAGCTTGAATTTCTCTCTGTAAATGGTGTTAACTGTTTTTGTCTTCTGCATGTTGATTTGGAGAACTGTTGACTGTTGACACTAAAATAAGCTAGCTGCTGTTGACAATCACTTGAGTATCTGTAAACTACCCACTACTCTTTCAGTTTTATTTGCACTATTGCATGCAGACTTGAATTGAAGGAGCTATGCATTACAGGGCTCAGGATTCCAGGACTTGATTTTCTTGCTTTAGAACCCTCTTATTTAGATATAGACAGAAGGGCAGGATATGGTTCCCTAAATAAAAAATGCAAATTCATAGCTGAAGCCTGAATCTGAGTCTCTTTTCTCGCACTTCATATCATCCTAAATACTGAAATTCACCACACAGACTCCCTGCTTAAAGATCAGCAAGTGTTACATTAATGTATATTTTTAAAGATGGGCAAGTTTGCTCAATATTCCAGTTAGTTAAAATCTTTTTGGCACTGTATGCAATTACATCGCTTTTGCTTTCTCTCCCTTTGCTATGTTATGAGCGATGAGTTTGTGAAGAATTTACCTTTGTGCTTTTTTTTTTTTTACTTCCTTGCAGTGAAGGGCTTGGGGAGGCTTATGATGGGGACATTGGTTTTGCTAGTGCTTTAGAAACTTTTGGTGGAGGGCATAATGATCCTATCAGTTTGGCTTTTGGAGGTAATTTTATTGGAAATTCTGTTTTTAAGTTGGGGCTCAGATGATGTTGAGCGTTATTTTCTGTTGTCATTGGAGAGTTGTGAGCATCAGAATTGTTTCTTCTAAGTTGCTTGATGATTGTTGCCTATCAAGTGAAGTACTCATTTCAATCTGTAGGATGTCTAATTGGCCCTGGTTAATCTTGGTAGCTGAATTCAGCTTTATATGAATTTCAAGAAATTGTTTGATTCAACGTGTGCAGTATTGGAATATTTAGTGTGTATGTGGAGATTATTGATTGAACATCTGTTTGCTAACATGCAGGCCCTGTTATGACCAAATTTACTATCGCCTTGAGAGAAATTGGAACATACAAGGAAGTCCTCCGATCCCAGGTAACTTTTTTGATTCATTGCTTTGAATGCTTGACATACACTAACACCTCCACTTCTGGAAGTGATTTTGTTCCTATTGTTATGACTCAAGCTGAGTTGATTGAACTTAGAAAATTTTGTCACTTCTGTTACAACTCCTGCACTTATGTTCGTATGCATAAGTTTGTTGTCAAAGGGCAAGACTATTGCTTACATGTCCCACTTCTTTCCCGTTACCACCAATAGAGCACCTGAAAAATGGGATCTTCCCACACAATAATTCAAATAGTGCAGTAGAAAAAGATCGTTCACACTAATTGTTCTTGAGGATGAAACTCGTAATAAACTTCACATCTAATGTACTAGATAATTAGCCAGAGAAAGCATAGACATCTAGTGATCTTGAGCCCGAATAGAGTATTTGTACCCATGCTACAGAGAAAACAGAATTTTGAGCATGATGTTTGACATTTATTGAGCTTGGTCAGAAAAATAATATTTTGTTCTCTGGTGTGACCTGAGTACCTTTCTTTGTTTTTTTGTTTTTCCTTCAGGTTGAGCACATGCTGAATGACAGATTACTACAATTTGTCAACATTGATTTGCTTGAGGTGAAGGTACGACATATTGCCAAATGCCAATTCTTGTCTCATTTGGGATGGTCAATGAATGTCATGCAACTTTTAGGGAAAGGCCAAGCAACCAAGTTCATGCAAAATATAAATTTTGCAAAGCTGTGAAGTGACTCGTTTCTTCCTTATTTTGTAATTTAAATATAGTATCAGATAGGATGGATTTATTATTAACCGTCCATCTTTCTGCTCCTCTCTCTCCATCAGATCCACATCCTCCAACTTTTTCTTTTAACTATTAATTAGTTGAGATCCCTAAGGAGGTTTATGGTTTCCCTGTTGTGAAATTGCAAATTCGTTTTCATAATTCTGGTCTGAAGATTTTCCTAGATGGTCTTTTGATGTCTGTACACTTCAAATTTTCCCCAATTTACAGATGTTCTTTTAATTGTTTCTTTAAAAAATCTTCTCTTAATGCAGGAAGCAAGGAAGCGTTTTGACAAGGCTAGCCTTCTTTACGACCAGGTACTTCCCGCCTTTTAAGATTCTTAATAGTTTGCCATTCTGGTAGGTGCCATTTCTTGCGTGATTAAACAAACTTTTAATGGTAATTTAACATTTGGCAGAATAATAGTTGTTCTAGACTTCTAGTACTATAAACTATGAAGTAGACTATGTGTCAGAAATGTTGGGATGAATGTATATTGGTTTTTGATAAGGAAATCTTAGCTATTCTAATTATGCTGCAGTTAATTTTAGTATCATCCCTAGCTAGAACAATATCCTTTATTCTTTATTACCTTCATGGTAAGTGAAGTCAAACACAGCACACAAGTGAATTGTGCAACTTTTAGGCTGGCAAATTTTAATGCGCTGACTGGAATTGAGCTGAAACCTACTTCATCACACATAAAAAATATTTTGAGATGCATATATTTCTTTATGTTCCTTTGGAGGATGAGGTTTCAGTTATCCAAGGATAATTGGACTTTGTAGTTCCAAAGCTCTATTTGGTTTTGTATGTGACACATATAGGACTTTGTTGCTTTGGAATAGGAAGTTAAGTTGTGCAGTATCCACAGTAGTATGGATGTTTCATCACTTTATAGCTTGCAACATCTAATGACTTGCAGATGCACTATAACTAGAGTTTGGCAATGTTTGAGCTGTTTAGAAATGAATGTCCTTTGCTAATAAGTTGGATATACAGAATGTAGCTCACGGCGCCTTGAAAGCTCCACATTTGAATTTATGCTGAAAGTCTTTGTTTATGGTTAATGTTCATGTATGCAACAGGCTCGTGAGAAGTTTCTGTCACTGAGGAAAGGCACGCGGTCTGATGTAGCCACCCTTTTAGAGGAGGTATTATCAACTTTGATACCTTTGCTGTTCTTATCTATGGTTCTGATATCTTGAACATTCTCCATTTTATATTCCTAATTGAGTTTTGATATATACCAGGAGCTTCATAATTCAAGGGCTGCATTTGAGAAAGCTCGCTTTAATTTAGTAAGTAATATCCAAACTAGCTATTGCATCTACTGCTTTTCTTTTTAGTTAGTGTTAACATCTAGTCTTTGATATTTCAAGAACTTGGATTTTATAATTGGCTCACTCTCCATCTAGGTAACTGCTATTTCTAGTGTTGAAGCAAAAAAGAGGTTTGAATTTTTGGAAGCAGTCAGTGGCACAATGGATGCTCATCTTCGTTACTTCAAACAGGTAGGACACATGGTGTACTTTGTGGACATGCTTTAATCTGTATCATACATATGCTCACGGAAAACCTTTGTTACTTGTAGGGCTATGAGCTTTTGCATCAAATGGAGCCATACATTCATCAGGTTGGTTATTACTACGCATTTCTTTAGATTACAGTAAAAACTCTTACAACAGTTATGTAATTATATTCAAAATACATAAATTCTGATTATTTTTCTGTGGAAAGCTATACTCTGTTCATAATTTTCCTATAATTTGAGACACCGAAATAGGGGAAAAAAAAAAAAAGAAAAAGAAAAAGAAAAGAAGAGGAGTAAAAAGGATGTTGTATGCCATTCAAAAGTGCTCCATTGGATTTTAGCCATCAAGTGACTTCGTCCTTTAAGTGAGGACTGACAAGGGAGGGTGATGGAAGGAGAGATGTATTGGACTTGCTTGGTCATCAATAGGCCTCTCCTTATTCATTCTATTCTATAGGGCGGGCCTGCAGACCAACAGTCCAGCAAAGCGGCCTAATACCATAGCATTGTAGATGGCATTTCACAGGATCAACGAACAATAATATGCAAGCTCTGACAAACTTAGAAGCTCCACAATATTGTGCTCCAGTGGAAATTGGAGCTTTGGGATGTTTGAATGGTGAGGAGGGTTAGTGTGGTGACCCCTACAATTTCAAAGTGGCTCTGTTCTATATAAGTAAATATTAGTGAATTGACAAGTATAAGGATGTGTACAGAGGCTAAACTTCAGAAGGGTTTGGTTGTCTTAACGCTTAGCTAATATCCAAGCATTCAACTAACATTAATGTGCCTAATTTTGTTGGATGGGTATTGATTGAGTTGTTTAGTTTCTAACTTTTCTGAACTTACTACATGTCATTAATATTTTATGTCAAACTGGCCATTCAACAAGCACAATGATTTAAACAAAAAAAATAACAAATAAAATTATGATGCCAATCATAAATATCAATAAAAAAGAAAAAAATGGCGACGAGGCTTTGCTTAGTTGAATTATGGAAACATGACACCTCTTGTTGTTTTGTAGGTTTTGACTTATGCTCAACAATCAAGAGAAAGGTCTAACTATGAGCAGGCAGCTCTCAATGAAAGGATGCAAGAGTACAAGAGGCAGATTGATCGTGAGAGTAGATGGTCTTCCAATGGTTCTAATGGATCTCCAAATGGAGATGGTATACAAGCCATTGGTAGAAGTTCGCACAAAATGATAGAGGCTGTTATGCAATCTGCTGCAAAGGGGAAGGTATGTGAAATTTTTACAACTGTGAGGGAACTTGTTTTACTGACCCAATTTTTTTCCATGAGGATGTTACTTCTAAAACAAGAAGAAAACTTTTCAGGTTCAAACTATCAGACAAGGCTATCTGTCAAAACGATCCTCAAGCTTGAGAGGTGACTGGAAAAGAAGATTTTTTGTTCTTGATAGCCGAGGAATGCTTTATTACTATCGCAAACAGTGCAGCAAACCTTCTGTGAGTAATTTATGTGAAAAAAAATTTAGATGTAGAGTGCTTAAAGTTCATTCTGTCCCTGGTGCCTGCTTTTGGCTTTTATCATCATGCTTGATATGTTCTATAGGGTTCTGGCAGTCAACTTTCTGGTCAAAGGAATAGCTCTGAGCTTGGATCTGGATTGTTGAGTCGATGGCTCTCTTCTCACTATCATGGTGGAGTGCATGATGAAAAGTCTGTTGCTCATCACACTGTGAACCTTCTTACATCAACAATCAAAGTCGATGCAGACCAGTCAGATCTGCGATTTTGCTTCAGGATCATTTCACCAACGAAGAACTACACCTTGCAGGTATGAAGTGGAATGTATTTTGTATCTGTTACTTGTGAGTAAAAGCTCCCTCGCATTTGAATAATATCCATCGTTGATTTCTGGCAGGGATGAATAAGATACTGTGTAATTGAGGGTTGTTTTCTGCAATAGATCCTTAATGATGCTTATTTATGCTTGTCGGTGCAGGCAGAGAGTGCACTGGATCAGATGGATTGGATTGAAAAGATAACAGGGGTTATTGCTTCACTACTTAGCTCTCAAGCTCCTGAGAGGGTAATTATCCAGAGCTTTAGACATTTAATTGTCATAAGACTTTTTGATGAGTGAGTTTTGTTAAATTTCAGTGTCTCTCGGCTAGTCCCCTGGGAAGCGGTCACCATCGGTCTGCCAGTGAGAGTAGTTCATTTGAAAGTACTGATTTTGATCCTTCTGCTGTTGATGAATATACATCTGAGAGGAGCCTTGCCACTTTACATCATGAACGAACATTGAGAAGTTCACAACAGCAACGAACCAGTGCAGAGAAGCCAATTGATGTGTTGCAAAGAGTTTGTGGAAATGATAAATGTGCTGATTGTGGTGCCCCTGAACCAGATTGGGCGTCTTTAAATCTCGGAGTTCTTGTTTGCATTGAATGTTCTGGTGTTCACCGTAATCTTGGTGTACATATATCAAAGGTAAATTTCTTTTCAAGTTTCGATTGTTTGATGTTTTCTTAGCATTGCTTTGTGAGCCATATTTCTTAATATATATTTTGGCATTAATGTTGGAAGAATGTGGGTGGTATCAAACGTCTATTGGACAGCAATATAGACCAGTATCTATGAAAGCTACCTTGAGCAGTCAGAATAATCATGAAATTAAATGGGCAGTTTGCTATCATTTCTCTTCATTCATACCAGATTCAGTAGCCAAAAGGACATTTGCAAGGTTGACAGATTTTGGTATAACCTGATCAACTTCTTAATTACTATTGTTTTTCACTTTTCTTTTTATCAACCACTAGAAGGTTGTCGTTGTATGCTGGGCATAAGCATCCATCTCCTTTTTCTGTCTAAAAATAAATTGCAAAGCTGCTTTATGTTTGGGTATATGGTAATTGTTACGGACAACACTATTGTTGGAGGTGCTCTGGTTATGTCCATTATTAACTCCTATACCCAGTAGTGATATTAGTTCTGCCTGTTAATCTATCCAGCTCTCAATCTTCTGTTGAATTGAATTGCAGGTAAGGTCACTTACACTTGATGTCAAGGTGTGGGAGCCTTCGGTCATAAGTTTGTTCCAGTCTCTGGGCAATGCCTTTGCTAACTCAGTCTGGGAGGAGTTATTGCAATCTAGAAATGCCTTGCAGGTTGAACTCATCCCCACAGGGTAAAGGACCTAATCATAATCGAAATAAAAATTCCTTTTATCTCAAGTTATATATAGTTAACTTTATTCCTTGTCGCTAATATTCATGAATGTTCTGCTGGTGAAGCTCGTTCAAGTCTGATAAAGCGCAGCTTCTCGTTATCAGCAAACCCAATCCTGCTGACTCTATATCAGTAAAGGAGAAGTTTATCCATGCAAAGGTTTAACTAAGAACTTTTTCCCTAGTTTTTACTTTCAGAATCTGGTTAAGTTGCTCATGGTTATTTATTTATTTATTTATTATTATGGAGATGCTTGATATTTTGAACTGCTGTGGACATGTTGGAAGTGAAATCTTTGTTTCCTTTGGTTGGCAGTATGCAGAAAAGGTATTTGTTCGCAAGCCTAGAGACAGCCAAAATACTCAATCAGTGGCACAACAGATCTGGGAAGCTGTTCGTGCGAATGACAAGAAGGCTGTATACCGCCTTATTGTTAATCATGAAGCAGATGTCAGTGCTCTGTATGACCAAGCATCTTGTAGCTCTTCCCTAACACTTGCTAAAGCAATGCTATTGCAAGAGCAGGCCAAACCTGACCATTGCTGTAGCTACTACTCACCAGGGAATTCGTTGGATAGGTCTTCCACTAGCTCTTTAAAATTTCCAGTTACTAGTGAAGGCCAGACCATGGATGATCTAGATGGGTGTACCTTGCTTCACCTTGCTTGTGAAACTGCCGACATTGGCATGCTAGAACTCCTCTTACAGTATGGTGCAAGTATAAATTCAACCGATTCGAGAGGTCAGACGCCACTCCACCGTTGTATTCTTAGAGGCAGCGCTGCATTTGCAAAATTGCTCTTGACAAGGTGAATTTTATTTACCCGTGTTGTGTCACGATTACATTATTAATGTGCCAAGTCTCTCCGCCTATAATCTTTGATATGCTCATCACTCTGTCCTCACCCCTCTCCCTGTGCCTCCTACAAGCAAAATAAAATATATTTACATCTATGAAATGCTTTACTGAATGGTCAATGATTCATTTGCAGGGGAGCAGATCCACGAACTGTCAATGGTGAAGGTAAAACCCCGCTTGAACTTGCAATAGAGTCCAACTTTGATGAGAGTGAGGTCCTTGCTCTATTATCAGACTCAAATGGTTGACATGCTCAAAATAGGAAATATATTTAATTTTGGCGATTACAATGAAGCTGGAGGGTTAAACATAAATTGGCTTGTGATATTATGCCTTTTTCTGTAAGTATATTTATAAGAGCCGGTTCTCCGTGGAAGATGTAAGCAGTGTTTGAAATTGAGTAGAGTGGTAGGTTGCATGCCTGCTCCAGGGGCATCTCTGCAAAACTAGTTGCTCAAGGTTGTATTGATAATGCCCCCTTGGTGAGAACGAAACGCTCTGTAATGTGAAATGGTTTTGTTTAATCAGCTCGTTTTGTTACTTTTTGTGGTGGAGTTAAGAGGACTTAGGTTAGGGCATTGTGTATTTGTACATTGTTTTATTGTAGTGAAGCTTTCTTGTGGCTGTAACTCTGAATGCAAGTTTGCACCCCCCCAAAAAAAAAAAAAACAAAAAATCAATGCAGAAATGAAGAATTTTAGTGAGCCTTTATCGTGCCTTTTTTTTTTTTTGTTTTTTTGTTTTTTTTAAGAATTAATTGCATGATAATTGGATGGACGTTGTTGAATTGGAACTGAGTGCCATTTTTTTAAGTAACTTGATAGAAAATTGAGTTGGAAGTTAAAAAGAGTTCAGAACAGCTCCTTAGTGATATGAATTGACTGTGCATTAGGGAAGAAGGTTAAAGAAAATCCTGGCATGACTAGCCATATCTGATCGTAAGATACGGCAGATTTGTCGGACTTGAGAAATATCAGGTGGTTCGTGATTTGCTTAAGGATTTGATGGACTCAATTCTAGGGAGCCGTTACCAAATGGTAAAACAAAGGTGGTGAAAGGAACTAGTGTCGTGCTCCTTGGCTGGATTTTGCACTACCCATATATATATCTAACTTTTCAAGAGATGTGCTCTCTACAGTACACTAATAAAAACAGTGAATTGAAGGAAACCAAATTCCTCAAAAAGCCGCACGCAAGGCACGTGTTTTCTTTCTCTCGTCTCCAAAGTCCAAGCAATTACCTATATAGATCAATTGGTTATTAACGTAAATATATTTTGAATGAACGTAGATGACTCATATCAAACAGATTCTAACACCATCATAATTTTCTTTTTTTGCTTGTTAATTTTTTTAATTAGTTTTTGCAATTGAGATATCTCTGACTTGATCAAAATCAAGCAAGTCTCTATGGATTTGTAATGAAAAAGTATTATCATGATTTACAAACATAGCATCAGCAAAGGAATAATTTTGAAATAATAATACAAAGAACCACAGGAAAAAACAACTATTCTCAGACGAAGAAAAGCAAAAAAACATTACAAATCCCACGAGAAGACAGTAACCTTTTTTTAATAATCACAAAAACCTCTTTCCAGCACAAATTCCCGTGGTGTTCCCTTCCTTGCAATATCAACGGTCCAGATCTCATCTCCAAATCAACTGCTCCTATACGTGGTCTCTCTCACTCAGGCTCAAACACAGGGTCCGATGTTTCGCTTTCGGCCTCGTGATAGGGACACGAGGGATGCAACTACTTACGTGGCAATGGACCCCGCTCTATTCTGGTCTTCTGAAAGGCGGGAAGGGAAGGGCAAGGGAAGTTTTGTCCTCCAGAGAAAGAGAAACAAATGAAAGATAACATTTGTTAGAAATTCGTGAGAGAGACACACATGCACAGATTGTGTTTTTTAACTTTTTAGAGAGAGAAACTGAAATAAGAAAGAGACCAACGCAGGAGGAGGCTTTAATAAGTAGCTCCTTCGCTCTCTTTTGTTTCTCTACCTGCTACTAGGTGTAGTTTATTAGTACAGCAGTTGTTTTCTTCGTTTATAAGAGAAACAGTTGAGTTTTTTTTTTCTTTTTTGTTCTTTAGACAGTGAAGAAAACAATTTGTCACTTCTCTGCCTTAGTATTAGAAGCAGCTTGTTACACACAGGCGAAAATTAATCATTTCTGATGTTTTTGTGTTCTGGGGTTTGTTGAAGGCCTTTCCTTTGGTGAAACGTGGTGGTTTTGGAGGGGTAGTAACCAATGTGTATAGTTTGGGTGCAGTTTCTTTAGTGTGAAATTCACTGAAGAAATAGGAATGAGTGACGTTATGATTCTTTATTTCTTTCTGGTGAAGATTTTGAGTTGAGATTCGTTTTTTATCTCATATTATTCCTTGGTTTCCAGCACTTGAAAAAAGTTCTCTTAACAATTTTGGTGTAAGAAACTGGTCCTTTTGACACTCTTGGGGTTCTCATTTTCAAGCTAATTAGAGTTTTTGTCCTACAGAACGCTAAGGGCTGAAGCTTTATGATTAATGGTTCTTAGGTTTGAGCTAAAATCTTGAGTTATAGAGAGTTTTGACGATGTGGGTCGTGGAGATTTTGTTGAGCTTGTGGTACCATTTATAGGGTCTTGCGGGAGTTTTTGAGGCTTTTTAGGTCGAATGGAGAAAAGAAGATGCAGTCCTCAAATTAGCAACAGCAAAGTCACATCTTCACTGCTTTTTCTGTTCACTCTTTGCTTATACTACACAAGTGTACAATGCCAAGAAAGTGTCACACCTCCATCTTCTTCTATACCAACCCAATCCAAGAATGGACTCAAAAGAATACTTTTAAGCATCGTTTTAGGAGTCTTGACTGGATTAATAGGAGCCGCTGTTTTTGCTTTTGTAGTCCGTTTCTTGGTCCGGTACATGAAGAGAACTCCAATCCTCAAAGGTCCAGTGATCTTTTCACCAAAAATCACTCCTAAAAGTCTTCAATCAGCTCTTCAAAACGAGAATCAGTTGCTAGGGTCAAGCTCCAACGGAAAGTATTACAGGACTGTACTGGACAACGGGTTAACAATTGCTGTCAAGAGGTTTGAACCATTTGAGATTGTCTCCCCTGAGAGGCAGAGCAAGTTAGTAAAGAGAAGGATACAGCGGGAGCTGGAAATGCTAGCTAGTTTGAGACATCGGAATCTGATGAGTTTAAGGGCTTATGTTCGCGAACCAGATAGGTTCTCTTTGGTTTATGACTATGTGCCAACTGGGAGTCTCGAAGATGCAATGAATAGAGTGAGAGAGAATGAGTTGCAACTTGGATGGGAAGTTCGGCTTCGGATTGCCGTTGGGGTTATCAAAGGGCTGAGGTATCTTCATTTTGAATGTGCCCCTCAGATTTTGCATTATAATTTGAAGCCTAGGAATGTAATTTTGGATGCTGAGTTTGAACCAAGATTGGCTGATTTTGGACTTGCTAAGCTTACGCCTAATTTGGATAGAGCTACATCGGGATATAGTGCTCCTGAGTGTTTCCAAAATTGCAGGTACATGACATTAATTTTTGCTGTACTTCTACTCTGCGTTGATTACGATATGATTTAGTGACTTGCAATTGCGATATATCATACATGTGGTAGCTTCATCTTCATAACTGTGCTTGGTCTCTGCATCCGAATGATCTCTAATATTGCATTTCTTTTGACAACTTTAACAATCTGATAATTATCTTCGAAGTTTCAACTGTTCTATTAGATGGCAAACAAGATGAATAATCTGACTCAAGTGGAAGTTAATCTGGCTAATAAACGAATGGCAAGCACATGGAATTAGCTAAAGCACCTTTAGAGAAATTTTTTTTAATATTTCTTAGCTAAAGTGCTTTAAGAGGTCTAGCCATTCCCCACCTGTTCTGCTTTTATTGGGTTTTCTGCTAATTGGTTGGTGTTTTAGAATCTGTGCTTATCCATGTTCTTTAGCTTTAATTTGTTTATGATATGTATAGCTGCTTTCTTTTATTTTTGATGCATGTTTGTTTTAAATTAGAACTTTATGATGTGGTTATAACAAAGATGGATGTATGTTTCCAATTTTAATAGGTATACAGACAAAAGTGATGTTTTCAGCTTTGGGATGATATTGGGTGTTCTGTTAACCGGGAGAGACCCTACAGATCCGTTCTTTGGGGAAACAGCTAGTGGGGGTAGTTTGGGTCGTTGGCTTCGGCATTTGCAACAAGCCGGGGAGGCGCGGGAAGCGCTCGATAAGAGCATTCTTGGGGAAGAAGTTGAGGAAGATGAGATGCTTATGGCAGTGAGAATTGCTGTTGTTTGTCTATCAGATATGCCTGCAGATAGGCCTTCAAGCGATGAGCTTGTCCCCATGCTATCCCAACTGCACAGTTTTTAAAAGAAATGTAAGTAAAATTGTTAAACTAAAAGTCTGCTGATTTTGTGAAAATGGGATTTTTTTTCTTGAGGGTTTTGGTTTGCAATCCATGTGGAGCTAACCTTTTCTCAGATTGGTAAGAAGAGGTCATGATGTGGAGCCCTATGGTTGCTGCCTTTTTTGTTTGGTTTCCACCAATTCTCGAATTTGTAAGTTTTACTCGTCATCATATAGTAGTAGTTTACAGTGATGTATACCTAACTAATGCTGTAACTGAAGATTGGTAGTCAAGGAGATCACTACCTCTAGAGGGAGAAAAAAAAAAACCAAAAACTTATCATCAAATGACTACGTGGGACACAATCTGCATTATTGTGTTCTCTTCTGATGATGGTGGGGTTCTGCTGGCTGTCTTTGTTTGAACAGAACTTTTTTGAAATTGCACTTCCTTTTACCTAAAAATTCATGCAGTTCTCTTTTTATCCACTTTGTCTAGCAAGGGTGATGTCAAATCTAAAGCAAATGTCATGAACCTTTGGACTTTATTGCATCAAATTAGATCCAATTGTGGATTGATCTTTGTTGATTGCCTATGTAGGCAACGAGTCGATATTCACGAACCTTTCAACTTTATTGCATCAAATTAGAGCGTGGGTGGAATGATGTTTGCTAGACCAACCAAGTTGTTTTTTTCCCTTTGAAGTTGAATAGAGTGCAGTTTATTCCTGCTTTTCTCCTTTCTGGGTTGAAAGGGACACCTTTTCTTTGCTCGTCTCCTGCCTGTAAAATGTCTTTGCTGGGATTTCTCCTGTTTATTTTGAAGAGTGAAAAGTTGTTGGCATAGCATGAGCTTAGCAGTTAGCATGTATTTGGTCAAGTGTTAAAAAAAGGTTCCCGTTGAGGTGCGTATGCCTAGGGAGCATGAAAAGTCTGCAAAAAAGCATGTGGTGGGGATACTGAGAGATCTGATAGGTCATGCATTTGGGACCAAAAGCAGGAGCACGCTTCAAAAGGCTGAGTTAAAAATATAAACTGTCAATTGCCCCTTACAGCTGTAATTACCAGCCATCCCCGTTTGGTCCTTTTAAAATTGGAACAGACATCCATAGGAATGGCAATGGGGCGCACCGCCGTCCTTCGAAAATTTTACCCCACTCTAGTCCCGTGTCCCGTGCGGGATAAAATTTGTCATAGACCTGTCCTAAACAAGGATGGAGATCCTCAGATACTGCTACCTTATGTAATTTTTTTGTTTTATTTTATTATCAAATTTTAAACTATAGTAAAAAAATAATAATTTATATAAAAAATAAACTTTAAAAATTAATAATTATAGATTTCCTTTTCCGATCTAGCTAAACAGGATGGGGGCGAACAACTATCATTTTCATCTTATCCTCGTTCAAAATAAATACTGAGATGTCATTTCGTTTCCGATCAATGTAGGGAATCCTGATAGAGCAGGGCAAATTGTCATCCCTAAGCATCCATTTTGCTAGCGTGTGAACTTCCATCCTCGGCATGATCCGTTCTCTAAATTTTCATGGTGGGCCGGGTTCTTGGCTTCTAGCAACTCCGTTTATTTCACCCTCTTGTCGTTTGTGATTTGTAGGGATTTTGTTTTTCTGAATGTAGATTTCAGACTCGTGTAAATAATTGAGTCCAAAGTCATTTCATTGCATTGGAGGATGGAAAAATGATACTGATAGTGACATTATATCGACCAGTGTGCAAAGTGCCAATCATGTCGTCTGGTTTGAGACTCTTCTCTTTCTTTTTTAAAAAAGTAGGCAATCGCTCCATGATTAGTCACATGTAAAGTAAAGGGAGATTTATGGATAGTTAACCTAATGAATTTCGTTTTTGTACGAATAAGCAAACAAAATTTATACATATACGAAGTAGGGGTATGTACGTGGTTGGATTGTTCGGTTCGATTTTCATTTTAATTTTTAAAACCGAGTGAGCTATTTTTGTGGTTCTGACCAAAACTCCGCTTGCGTCTGATCACTGAGTAGTGAGTACGCAATAATTTCTCAAAGTAAAAAAGCCACGTTACGAAAATGGGCTTAAGGCTGGGTTTTAATGGACTTCGAGTCTATATGGTTTGGGCTTGTAATGTGGGGCCAGGAGTAGAGGAAAAGGAAATCTAATCATTGATCATGTTCTCATAGTGTTTTTTTTTAGCGTCAGAGAGGATGGATCAAATTTTCTAGGAATTAAATCCATAATCTCTTGAAATTAAATTAGAAGCTATCGTTGATTTATGAGAGTAATTTAGTTACTGATTTTTTAACTTGATTATTCAAACCACCACTATATCCTCTCTACAAATTCTATCTAAAAACATTTATGATTTTTGGATATAATGGATGGACTATGGACTACAATCATTGCATCCGGAGAGTGACTTTTTCTTTCAATTTTTTCCTGAATTTTTTTTCAACAGAACTAGATGATGGCCTTAGCGTTTAGTAAACACAACTGGTTTTTCCTTTCCGGGTATCAATAATTACACCAAGGATTTTTGTGAATTTCATAGTTTCTAAACGTTACATGGATACTGAAATCTAAATCCATGGCGCAATTGGTGGGTTTAAGATTTTTAGTCAATGATTCTATCCATCTTTTGTCAAGTTTTGAAATATTAAATGAGAAAGATGCGAGAGGCTAAAATGCCAAGCTCTGTAGAACCTTCACCACCACACTTTTCAGTCAAATAAAAACTAAACCTTATCCATTCCGAAAAAAATCTTGGCTACCTTATCTGTATTTCTAACACATTAGAAATACAGGTCCCTCTCCTCTCAGTGGCTTCAACCTCCAATTCCACACTATTCATAGAAAATGCAGGCAGCCATATTTCTTGCGCCACCAGTTCTCCCTCTTGTAACACCTAACAAAAGTTTAGTTTCGGCAAGGAGGGCCGTCTCGAAGTTACAGACTTCCAAGTGTTCCCCAATCAAAGCAAGTGCTCCAGTGGATAACGACACTCCAACAGTTGATTACAGCTCCTTTACCTCGTAAATTCTGTTCTCCATCATCCTCAGATTCCTGTCTTCAACATTAAATGTTACGGTTAACAATATAATTTCATTACATGTTTTGTGCAGTGTTTTTCCAGCTGAGGCTTGTGAGACAGTAGGAGGGGAAGCTTGTGATGTTGAGATGTATCCTGAAGTGAAGCTCAAACCAGATGCCACAAGTACTCCCAGCACTTCAGAGCAGATCGATAGAGAATATTTAGAGTACGACAGTCCCAAGACGTAAGATCTTAGAACCCACATCTAGTACAAGTTTTAAAGATTTGCAACGACAAGAATTGAACAAAATATCTGAGATTTTAACAAGGATTCTTTTGTTTCATTACAGGGTGTTCCTAGAAGAGGCTTGTGATGATCTTGGAGGAGAGTTCTGTGACCCTGGATATCAGGGATGAGTTTAGTAGTAGTAATTTATCAAGAAAAACAAGGAGAAAAAAAAATGAGTGTACCCTACTATGTTCTTGACTTCCTTTTCTTACTCTGTGAATATGGATCTCTCGGTAGTTGACATACTGAAGTTCTTGAATGATAAACTTATTGCGAAGTTAAATAATAAGTTAGTTTTCTATACTATCGAATACACTTGTGCTCTGTAAATGTGCAGGGCTGGAAATGATTAGGAAGGAATACTTTCTATTGGAACAAATTTCGGCCTAGCTTGCTGTTAATGGAGAGAAATGATCATTTGAAGTTCAGGTTATTTGCAAATCCACCTGATGTTGAAACTACGCGAAGCATTTTAACAAGCCAAAGCCAAGCCACAGCAGAAGTGTGAGATTCCGACTTCCGCACCAAATTCACATTGACACATGTTTTACAGAAATTGGAACTAGAAGTCACATAATCCAAAAGAACTGCATGCTGAAAGTATACCTGTAATGTTTGAAAATCACATAACTTCATTGAGAGGAGATTAATTTCTCTATACTAGTACTAACAACGACATTATTGTCTATCTCCTCATTCTCAGTGATCCCCTCCAAAAATAGACACTGATGAACTAACGAGTACTTTGCAATCTTCATTTTCTCCGAGTTGTCACTTCCCACATTGTTGTTACTTCTCAGAAGAAATGATCCATTGCCATCACCTTCAATAGAAACACTAAATCAGACAACTTAGCCATATTGTAAACAATGAAATGAGGCACGCCAATATGGTATGGGAGGCAACAAAAACAAAATTTCCTCATTTAACAAACTACAGTTTTTGTGAAGAAACCTTTGATGGTGAAAATGGATGGAACCCATCTTTTATAGAGGAAAAGCAATCTCGGGGAGTCTCCATGGTGTGTATCAGAGATCAAAAGCTTGCAGTTTCCTTTGTCACTGCAATTCAAAAAACTTAAATGAGATATCTTTACCTCTAATAAAAGATATTATGAAAACCAAAGTAGTAAAGTTGCAGTGGAAACTGGACAAACTTACTTTGCAGACATTACTGCGTTGTGGCACAAAGCTAAAATCCGAACCATTGCTAAATCTCTTCCACGAGGATTACCATAACTCTCTTGGCATTTCCTAAGTTAATCATTACAAATTCGGTACAATCTCTTACACTGAGAGAGAATTAAAAAAAAATAAAGAGAAGGGAATACCTTTCATCAAAAAAGTCTCCAAAATCATCAATAACCACGGCTATAGGAAATGTATCGTGCAGGTGAAACGCAGCAAAATATTTCTTGATCCCTTCATCATCTTCCACATACCTTTTTTTTTTTTAAGAAAAAAGAATAATAAATTATTACAACTGTAGCTCACATGCAAGCCGTTCTTAAGATAATTAACAGTGCGTGGACTATTTACTTCATTTGAATGCGTTTAAAGGTATCAGAAGATGGTAGAATGCCCTGAAAATTTTGAAAGAAGTACTGTATCAGAAGATGATTCAACGCCAAGAAAAAGAAACAGTAATTTTTTTTCCTACGAGGGAGAGAAGTTCTTACCTGAGAGAGAAAAGGAGGGGCGATTTCTATCCTGCTACGGTTGCATATGAAGACAACTTGACGATCATCCTCAGCTTCCAATGCAGCGTTGAAAGCAAACTGGAAGAGTAAAGACGTTTTCCCGCTGCAAATTCACTCACTTAGAATAATTACAGATTCGAAAGGATAATGAAAGAGAGAGGAATTGGGGGATGATGAGCAATTACCAGGAAGGAGGGCCGGAAAGAAGCATAAATGGGTGGGACTGGGACTGGGACTGGGACTGGGATCGGGAGGTGTGGTGAGTGAAATCGAAGTCCAATCGGGTCGTAGAGAAGAATGCCTCCATCATCTTTGTTGGAGATAGCTAACTGCTAAATCTGCAAAGCGCTAGAGAGGTTAGTAGCTAGCTGAAGATATGGGAAGGCTATTTAAGCCCAAACATTGCAAATCTTCATAGCCCGTGATGGTACTATGTTCCTTAGTAAAGATTGCTTCCCTTTTGGGCTCCAGATCAAAGCCTATTACCCATCCATTCTAGTTTCCTGTTATTTTAATACCACTAAGAGCTTCTTTCAGCTTTCATGTACCTTTTTGTGCAAGGGATTAACTATATGGACATGTTGTTTTTTTGAATGTAATGTAATAATGTAAAACGTTACATGAAGACCGAAAGCAAATAGATTAAATATATCTACATTTACTTATATAATATTTAAAGTTTTTTTTTTTTTTATCTATTTTTAGATTTTTAATTACATTCTATTTGCTTCTCACAAATTTTTAAATATTTAATTTGTTCTAATCAAATTTTCTAACTATAATTTTTTTTTACTGAAATGTTTTTTATTAAGATAAAAAAATACTTAAAGTCACATGACCTACATATTCAATTTTTCAATTCTTTAGATATTTTTTTTATTTTTTTTGTATTTCAATTAGGAAAATTTTAATTAAAAAAATTCATTTGGCTGGAAAATTGATCGGAAAAACAATTTAAACATTTCAAATATTTTTAAGTACAAATGAGATGCAAATTACAAGTCTAAAGGCACATGAAAGGTTTTGAGTACTATTTACGAACATATAGATATATTTACCTAGTAAAATATTTGTCCAAAAAATTGTAATGTAATGGAAGTTAAAAGTCAATATTTTAATTGTCAAAAATAACAACAACAAAAAAAAAGATAAATTTTATCTTAAAAATAATAGTTTGAAATTTAAATAATTCAAATTATATTATAGATTTTAAATTATCATAATTCTAATAATTTAGATTGATCTCCTTTTTTTTCTCTCTCTCATTTAAATAATAATAATATGTTTGGAAGTGTCTTTAAGAACACATATCATCTTCTTAGTATGTCATGTGATCCAGCATGCAATCAAACTCATCAGATAAACTCATTATATGGACGAAAATCTAACCAGAAAGATGGCATCACTATCGAAAAAATAAGTTAAATAATTCGAATAAAAATAGATTAATAACTAATTTTATATTTATAGAAAGTTAGCAGTTTTTAACCAATTAACCTTTCATTATAAAGTTATCTTAGGCCCAAAGCCATGGGTGGGCTTTCCTTAAAACAAATACAACCTATTATCCCTCTTCCTGCCTTTGCTTTACGCGAGCCCATTATTAAAAGAAAACTAAAGCATATGGGTTAATCACTGTTGATTTCCTGTTGACACAGCCACAACGGACTGTAGATTGTGACTCTATTATACTGTTTCGCCCCCATTGCTTGTATACGGAGCGTTGATTTTCCGGTTTGCCTCGCCCATACCGCACAATTCTCCTCCTCTTCCTTCTGATATCTTTTAGAATGTAAACTTTCATTTGCTCTCCTTTTTTCTCTCTTCTTTGCCTGTCTTTTCTTCTTTCTTTTGTGGCTAGCTTTATATTTTGGACATCCCATTTAATGTGCTACAGTCATTTGATGGGCTTTTTACTTTTTATATTTATTTATTTAATAACAATTAACAAATAAAACTAAAAGAATAACTATTCACTCACTGTTAATCTAGACTCAGTTCTCTCGTGGACGTAGACAAATCTCTACTATGCACCTCCTTTCACTCTCTCTTGACCATTTGTTCTTCCTTTATTTCTTTTTGTTCGTTTGATTTGTAGTGGTTCTTTTGTTCTTTGTTCTTTGTGTTTTTGCTTGTGGGAGAAAGAAGTGCTTTGGGTTGTTTTTTTTTTTTTTTTTTTTTTTTTTGGGTCTCTCCCGATTTTGCATCTTTTGCCCTCCTGTTTTTCGCTTATTTTCCTTTCGTGCCATCATATTTTCTGTCCCCTTTCTTTCTGTTTTTGAAGACCATTTAATATTTCTTACTCATGTCATTTCTGGCTTCTTATTTTTCATTTTCCTTTCATCATTTTTTTTATTGTCCCACTCTTTCTCAATGTGGGTGGCCTAGTGATTTTGTTTCTTTTATTGTCCCACTTATTTTTTGCTATTTGTTTTGAATGCTTCTTTGGTTTGTTTCATGTTTTGGTTGCCTTTCCCTTTTATTTCCTTATTTCCAATTCGGTTGCAGAGGAATGGCTGTCTCTATTTCATTCTTTTCAGTTCAGCTCTAGGGGGATGGCTGGCACTAGTTCACCTTCGGTTGGCCTCGTTTCTTGGCCAAATTTTTTTCTTCCTTCTTGGCCGCACAACCGCCATCATTTGCTTCCAGTTTTTCTCAGCCTCTCCTGCATTTTTGCCTCCCCTCCTCTTCTCTTTGCTAATGCATTTCTTTGTCTCTCCATTTCATCCTATTTGTTTCTTCGCCCCTCTCATTCTCTCCTGTGTTCTTTGCCTTCGTTGGTTTCTGCTCTAGTCTTTGTCGTTTCTTCATCCCTTTAATTTATTGTTTCTATAGATTTCAGGTTCTCAATTGTCTTCTCTTCTTCTTTATTTTTTAGTTTTCTTTCCTCCTTCTCAAATTCTTTTTCTGATTTGATTGCACATTGTGTTTCTTTTATAGGCATCGATCTTCTCTTTCTATAATGGATGTTACCCCTGTGCTTTGTTAATTTTTAAAACAGGTGCATTTTCTATTTGTTTTTATTTCTCATCTTTGATTTTTTTTCTTTATTTTTTGGCCTTTTTTCCATGTTTTGGTTTCATAAGACAGAATTGTGTTCTAATATGGGTTTGCATCATATCATTGATTTATGCCAAAGTTTTGCTTTTTTTGGTTTTGGGTTCTTTCGTGTCTGTGACTTATGCCATGGATTTGTGTTACGCCATGGGTTTGTATGATGCTATTGATTTATGCCAAACCCACATGCGAAAGAACTAGTGAAATCTTTTTACCTTAGATGGATCTCTTGCATTGAGCAGATGATGGAGGTGTTGGCCCATTGAACGAATTCTTAAATAAATCTAATGTTTGAAAGTACTTAGCTTACTAGTCTAATTGTACAAAAGAGAAGGTCTTTCAAACTTCAATAAATGGAGTGATTGACATTTGTCCATTTTCAGTTAATTATAACGTGGATGGTGCTGTAGGTCGCCCTTGTTCAGATTATGTCTAAGTGAAATAGAGGTTCAATTTAGAGCAGATTGTGTTACCTTTATTTGATTATCTAATTTCATTGTAAATTATGTTCCTTTTACAATCACTAGTCTTCTCTTTCTACAGTAGATGTTGCCTCTATGCTGTGTTTGTCTATGAGAAAGTTGCGTTTTGTATTTGGTTTTCTTTCTCATCTTCGATTTCTTTCTCTATTTTTTTCCCCTTTTTTCACCATTTGGTTTGATGGGATGGAATTGTATTCTACAATGCGATTGTGTTAGGCTAATAGTTTGTGCTAAACTCTTGCCTTTTTTGAGTTTTTTCGTGTCTGTGTCTTATGCCACCTGTTTAGTAATTTTTGTTATATGATTTGTTGCAGGGAAATTTTTGTGTTTTTAGATTCTGGCATTATTAACAGGCAAGGTTGTGGTTGTGATTTCACCATTGATTAGCTTGATGCATGATCAGTGCTTAAAGCTATCAAAACATAGTGTCTCTGCATGCTTCCTTGGATCTAGGCAACTTGATAGCAGTGTGAAAGAGAAAGCAATGAGAGGCACATATGACATTATATAGAAATATTGACACTATCCTGGTACTCTTTTATTTTTTGTAAACCAATTTGATGACTTTACTGCCTAGTCACCATTGACCAAAGGTTGCTTCTGTGCTTGTGTCATAAATAAGCAAGATGGAGGAATTATTAGTTGTACATACATAGAAATCTTAAAAATTTTCTTATTGTTCATTACAACTATTAGTTAGTTTTCTGTTTTAATGATATCCTCTCAATTTTTGTATTGTATGATATGAGATGCATTTATGCGCTTCTCTTCTTTATGTGCCTTGTGATAATTTTGGATCTCATTTATCTGATTTGAAGATGAGACATATCAAACAGAGCTAAGGTTTTCTTATCAAAATGGAGCAGAATGTTTGCAAAAAGTCAAGCATTGAAAAAACCCAATGGTGTAAAGTCCTCTACAGATGCACAAGTTATGATTTTGAAGCAGAGACAAGTTCGTGTGATTACCTCCGATGATTGCAAGATTTGTTCAATCAAGTCTCATCTTTTGGCTCTAATTTTTTGCAACATTGATGAAATTTTGGCAGTCTGATATTGATAATCCCATAAGTTCTATGTACAATCTGTTACATGGTCGAAAATATTGGTTAGAATCAAGACAACTATAGAGAGAAATAAGGTGGGGGATAGTTATCGATTTGTAGAGCTAATGATCCTTCTTAAATGGAAATTATGGAGTGATTAGACAAAATTAATTTTTTTTTCCACAGTTAAACTTAGTGTGTCTTATTTTTAGATGTAAGTCAAAGTCATAATGGAGTTTGTTTCATGGTTTGGTGAATAATATTCGATGTTTCTAAGACCTTATCGTCAAGGACCTAATAGAAATACATCTCATAGAAAGCGGCATCTATGCATATGTATTTGATCATCATTTGATGAATAAACATGTCAAAAGAGAGAGGTTGAGATTAGAATTAAGTTCGTCAATGTGTTCTAATATAGTTTACTCTTTACTTTTTCAGTTCTGAAAGTTCACACATGTGTGCATAAGTGAGAAAATGTTTGTTTATTTTTGTATAAGTCATGTTACATGAGCAATACAAGCAAGCATCCCTTTTTGAGATAAGAAAATGCAAAATTTTTAATTATTTTTGTTTAGAAGAGACTGGATTCATGAACGGGGTAAAAGGGATAAAACTATTGGACAAAAAGACAGACTGGCCTCACTACTAATTTTACATTGATGAAAGTGATTTATTCACTTTTTTATTAGGTGCCTATCATTGTCAACCGTACACAAGCTAACTCTTTATTGGAAAATTATTTTACACTTCACTACCCTAGGTTTAGCCCTATGTTTGTAACATTCTTGATCTTGGAAAGTTCCACCGCTGCCTCTTAATGTGAAGAGATTTGTAGATTTTCAGTGTACCTTTGCATCATGATCAGCTTCACATGTTGGCATAAATATAGATGCTTTATTACTCTTCATAATTCCTTTTTTTTTTCTCAAGACCTTGCCAACAAATCCACTCACACGCGATTAAGTTATTTGACTAAAGCTATTAGTTTTTTAGCATTCAACTTCTCACTTAACCTTTAAAACATACATGCAATGGTATGTCAATGGACTAATTAGATAACAAAACAACCTTCTAAAAAAATAACAAATGTCCTCCATTTTTTTGTAGTATCGTCTTTTCAACAGCCAACCTTTTCACGTATGACTATTTTCAAAGTGGCCTACTCATGTGTGTTTTTTGTTTTCGTCTTTGTTTTTAGTTTTTTTCTTTTTTGAAATATTTATTTAATGAAGCATTTGTTGCTAATAAATTTTTTTCCAGAGTCAATAACGAATGGGTTTCTTTCTAACCTTAACAAGAAAAACTGCACCATGCCCCCGCGGCGTAGCTTGGGTGCCTAGTAGATTCCAAGTCAGTAGCATAGGATCACTGTGGCTTATCTAGCGTACCAAATATGCGAAGATGTCCTGTTTTCCACGCCAAGGCCACTTTTTATGTTCAATATTTTGCTTCCTTAAGCGTAAAGCAAATACTGTGATCTTTTTTCTTTTTCTTTTTTTATCTAAAATGAAAAACCGTGAGCTATCTTACGCAATTGTTTGTTTCTATTTTTCTACCTGGTTTAATCTACATATTAGGCTTGGAGGAGACTTTCCTCTGACGGAAGCTATATATAAACTTGCAGGACAGCGATGGCCATAGGCTAGGACACCAATGTCATGATCATTCTTAATAATGGAGCTCTCCACCATTTCCACATGAAATTTTAGTGATGCAACAGACCGGATACTCTGGGAAGATGCTTCTACAAATTAAACAGTTTGGTACGCAAAGTATTTGACATTCGAGTTATAAGTTTGGTTAATTTGCTTTTCAAGCTTTTCTTTTCTTCCAGATATTGTTTGAAACCTCAGTTCAATTAATTTATTCTCTGTTTATTGTTTTTTCAATAAGCAACTCTATACATCCACATCCATCCTAATAGAGTAAAAAAAAAAAAAAAAAGGGTAGGACGGCCCTTTTCCCTCCCGCTCATATATATATATATATATATATATAAAATAAGCTAGAGAAAAAAAATCCTACGGGATTAATTAGAAAAAAGAAATAACGATGAGCATGACGGAAAAAAAGAAGAAGGTAAAATTAAATACCTGTTTGTTCTAGCTCTTTGTTTATCTTCTATCTTCTCGTCTTTCTTTTTTTAATAACTTTGAAAAAAAAAAACATAAAACAGCCTTTTCTTTTAAAGGAAACGTGAAACAAGAATCCATAAAATCATGCTTGCACTGAAATTAATGCTAACAAAAACAATTTGATGAATAAGGCAAAAAGATAAATTGAACATTGGACGGCATCTCACCAAATTAATACAGCCTATATAGTCACCGTGAAATCGTGAATGCTGTTGGGAGGAAGACGGTGAACAGTGGCCCCGCTATAATGCTTGCTGCCGTAACTATGCGCAGTTAGTGTCAAATCAGATCACACATCATAGTGTTTTCCGTTTTGTTCAAAAAAGGAAAAATATATAGAATTGAAAAGTGAAGCATCCATCGATTCAATATTCCCAATGTCATTAGCTAATTAAACACATATTAATATGTTTATCTGTTATAATTCGGTTAGCATTAATGTCCCTCGTCTTTTAAAAAATTCAAATTTCAACCTTTATTTTGTAATAAAGAAATATGTGTATATATACACACATGTAATATTACGTTATTAGATGAGCGTTTATTGAATTACAGGTTCAAAAAGCCACAATCAAGTGTACATTAGTAATATGGTTATCTGTCTATTAAAACAAAAGGACAGGAAGACAACTTAGACAAGCTAGTTCTTCGGAAAATTCAGCACGCACCTATTACTTGGCGGTAATTAAAATAATGCTACAACTTATAAAATAAAATAGAGTTTTTTTAAAAAAATGAGAAATTATACAAGGGTCCTGGAACTCCATGTTAGATAAGGACCTCTCCATTTATTTTTTGACATGTGAAAATTTTTTGACATATGTATATTAATTACCTAAATTTTTTGACACGTCAGATAACTACCCTTGCTGCAAAACAATTAACTCTTCATCTTCTCTCCAACCTCCGTCGTCTCTCTCTCTCTGTGGTGCCTGGAAAGACTTCCTCCACCATCTCTCTCTCCTCCGTCGATCACTGTTGCTATTCTTTTCTTTTTTACTCTTTCTCTCCCCCTCGATCTCTATTTCTCCTTTTAGCTTTCATTTCTCGTTTCTGTGCAATCGCTACCTCTACCTCACTCACTTATTAGCAATCTTGATGCTCTATCGATCTGATGCAGCTATCATGATCTGATGCCCTGCTTCCCCCTAAAATGATCTGATGCTGTGCTTCCCCCGATTGTTGTTCGTTTGCTTCGTTCTTAGTTTTCCTACTACTTTTTTGTTTTTTTTTTTCCGTTTAAAATTGCAGGAATTTTTTATGTTTTTCCAATTAGCAAAGACAGTATGTATTTTCTTCAAATCAAGAATTGAAAAGCTTACCTTAAACTTGAGCTTTTTGTTTAGTTCATTGGTCAAAGCATCTAAGGTTAATTAAAATACTAACCTGCATTATGATCTGCATTGGTTGCTTTCAGCTAATGATGCTAGTTGATTATGGTGGAGCAATTATTCCAATTATCGCTCATTCTCCATGAAATGGACTTCACTTGGTAGATTTTGTGCTTGCCTTCTTTCTTTTTATTGTTGGAGTTTCTCTTGCAATTGCTTACAAGTTACTGTCATTCTAGACAAGAAATCTGTGCTTCCTTGAAGCAATTCAATCTTATAGTCTTTCTAGTGATTCAACTGATAAACTACCTAATATTCTCAATTACTAAACTATGTTTGGATATTGAAATATGTATGATTCATGAGCTAATTGATTAACTCGGTACACTTAAATGCATTTTTCAGATGTAAAGAACTTTTTTAGTTCTTTCTCTGAAGTCTTGGTATGGTAATTTTGTCATCATAATCAAGCTCCCTTTATTTCTGTGCGGACGAAGAGGCATGAAAAACCCTCGACAAGGGTTCTCATTCTTAAACGCCATTGCATTTCAAAACAACAAAAACAGAAGCAACAATTCAAGGAGTGGAAGTTTGTATGAGCTGCCTTTCTCTTTGATTCTCCTACTTTGGTGTCTGCTGTTCTTGTTCTGTGATGGTCATGAAAATCAAGGTGAGATTTCTTTTTCTACTCGTTTTTCTGGGACGTTTTTCATGCTTATTTTCTTCTTTCTTTTGGTTACAACCCATTATTTTATTTTGGATTTCTGGCAAGCCCTTTTCTCCTCTATCTTTATATGCAACTATAATGTCTTAATTTTCTGCTATTGTGTTTTGGTTGTCTAGGAAATTGATGGAATGGAAATATTAATGAAAAAGTTGAGGCCTTTTAATTTCTAAGATAATGAACTTGATGACGATTGTTCATCATCATTTGCTGAATTAACCAAATAATTATGCAAGACAGTCAAACTAACATCTAACACTTTTATGTTTATAGTCTGTTCCTTTGAAGATGGGTTTTTTTTTTTTTTTTTTGGTCTTATAGGGGTGCCAAATTGGCCATTATATTCAATTGATACTGATTATACATTTTTAGGGAATTTGATTCTTCATAACAGTAGCATACCTTTTTCTAGTGATCTCAAAGACATTCTTCATGGGGATACACATTCAAATGATGCAAATAGCAGCAATAAAGGTACCAAAGGAATTCTGCTAGAGTTTAATTTGTCTACCAGCAGGAACAATGCTACAGTTCATACTGACTTGGGAAATCAGAAGTGCCTACTTCCAAAGACAAATAGATTAGAATAAGTAATTTTTAGTGCTTTAGGGTATGGATCTTCAGGGTGTAAAATGAGGAATCCAGAAGAACTGAAGACAGATAAACCGAAAGAACCATCGAGTGGGAGGCCTCAGCATTTGATTTATCTCAACTTTGAATAAAATATAGTTATAATAATTATTAACAAGCTCATTTATTTATCACCACTAAAATGCACTAATTTTTTATGATTTTTTTTTTTTTGCTTCAGTTGGGGAACTCTTGCACATGTAGTTCCCGTTGCATTTTGCTTATGGACAAACATTATTATCACGGCTATGCTACTTCTTGATGGCTCTGTTATTGTAAATGCAGTTACATGAGGGAACATTTACGCTGCCAGCTTTCTGATACTGCTTATGGAGTCATTGTTGAGGTCCTGGATCTAAAAAGGTACCAAAGGTCTAAAGAGCACCAGCTATAGTTTCATATCCTGTTTTTGTCTATGAACTTACGTACATCTAAGACTGTACTTGAAAGGATGGCATGCCTATTGGCTTAGGCTCTTGTAGGACTTTACAAGTATGCATAGCAGAGCTTTATGATAATGGCAATACTATTAGGCTGGTACGATGCTGGTCTGGTGGCAGGGTAAATTATTCATTTGCTTTATGTATTATGATACTGGTCTGGTGATGCCAAGCAACATGGACATTAAAATTTACTTAAGAATAAAATTTGCTTAAATAGTTGTATATTTATTAATTGTTTTGAGTTTCATTTTCAATGACATTCTATTTTTTGTTATAAAATTGATACTCCAACAATATTGTTGGCACCAAAAGTTTAAATAAATATATATTGCTGCAGCTATATACTACTACTTATGCAACTTTCAATTCATGATTTGCAAAATGAAGATATATAATTTAATTTTCAAAAGGGAAAAAGCCTAAACTTAAATAAACTTAATGTGTCATTAACAATTTCATAATAAATAATAATAGGATGTCCTCTCCAACATACAAAAAAGGTCTAAATGTGCCATAAACAAGGCTAAATAAGCAACAAAAATGGTGACCCCGAATGTCTCTCCCATTCATCATCGGAAAAGTATCTCAATTTGCAATGAACTATTTATACCATGTTCTTCATATCAATCATCCACTTTTGGAATTGTATTTATAAGTTGAGCATTTAAAGATGAATCCCGCAAATAAATATGCACATTCACACATTGTTGAACTTGTAAAAAAATTTGATTATAAAAACACAACTACAATAACTTACTTGACTCAAATGCACTATAGGCTCAACACCTTGTAACATTGTAGTAAATGACATATTTGAACCTCCCATATTCCAATACTAATAAAAATAATAGTTTTAATTAGCCTAAAAATAAAATAAAAAATGAATATCGTACAATAAAAATTTGAAGATTGTGTATACCGGAAGGGGGCACCAACTTGACTTAACATATGCATATTTGGTGGTACTTGGTGGTATGAAATTTGCATCGAACTTGCAAGATGATATTGAAAATTATGAATGTTATGTGTGCTCATACTTGGAGAGGATCCCGACTAGACAAGAATATATAATAAATTATAAATATCATAAAAACTTCATGTAAGAAATATGGTAATAGATTAAAAGAGCACCCCGTCTTGATCATTTGTTTTTTGCCTTGTAGGAACTTTGCATTGAGAATTTTTGCCTCTCTTTTTCTCTACAGTTGAAAAGGATAATAATCTAGATATATTATTATTTAGATCTATAATGAAAATGAAACTCGTAAGTTAGAAGGTATTCATACTAAAAGTGACAAATAACATTTTTTATTTTACAAACTCGTGATTGTTGCTTTTGCTTTTGTCTTTGCCTTTTTCTTAGATTTTTCTAAGTATCCTTTGAATCTTGCATTGGAGACACCTTTGGTCTTTGCACGAGGGGGTTCAAGATAGGATTAACATCAAGTGTCTTTTCTATATTTTGCCCATCACCCACTTCATTTTCCATTTCTTGACCATCTAAAGAAATGCTCAATTTGGCCAATTCATTCTCAATAGCTTTATCAATCTTCTTTAGTCCATCTTGAACAATCTTTCTTGCTTTTACATTTCCTTGACTCTTCAAGATGATATTGTAAGCATTTCGCATCATGTTATTTCGATAAACTATCTCATAATCATCATTCTTACCATCCACACTAACATTATGCGTCTCCTCTTTCAACCATTTATTTTTTGCATTTTTACATCATCTACTTAACACATATTTATTTGGAATTTCGTCAAAGTTCTTAATGATCAAGATCTTCAATGTATGACGACATAACAAACCTATAGACTCAAATTTTTTACAAGAACAACTTATCTCCACAGTGAACATATCCAACTTTACATGACGGATCCTCGAGCCATCCATTCCTCCAACCTCAAATTCATAAACACCACCATCGAAGATCGTTCAAACCAAAATTTTCCTATGGCATTCTTGAACTCCTCCTCAAACAATTTGAAAAGTTTGTGAGTATAAACATTTGTCGCATGGTTTAAAATCCCACTACCTCTAATTGCTAGAGGAGGCCTACTTTGCTTACAATGAAAATCCTCTTCGACCTCGAAGAGCGCCATTCCTTAATAATTTTCTCAAATGATTTAACAAATTCCCTGAGTGAAGTAGTTTTGTTTGCCACATTTCCCAAAACATTGTTAGTGCTTTCACTTCGTTGCGATGATAGAAATCCAACTGAAAAAAAATCATTAGACAAAGCGAGTGCTCCAGCTTTTGCGTTTCTCATATAATTGCTTCAACCACTTATGCTCTCTAAGATCAAAGGCATCTAACATTTTCTCCTAAGTTTCTTCAAACTCGGCTTCGCATTCACAACCTTTTAAGCACTTATGAAACAAGTTTTGGAAATCAAGATTTGAATTTAAACCACCAAGATGACTTGGAGCATTCTTAGTCACAATGTGCCACAAACAAAGTCGATGACAAGTGTTAGGAAAAACAGCTTTAATCGCATTAGCCATTGCTTGGTCTTGATCGATAAAAATGACAACTGGTGTTTTCCCTCCCATAGAATCCAAGAATGACTTAAATAACCAAGTAAAAGAAGATTCGATTTCATCCAATAAAAATGCACATCCAAACATGATATTTTGCCAATGATGATTAACACCAACAAATGGAGCACACACCAAGTCATATTTGTTTGTGTGATACGTTGTGTCAAAAACGACAACATCACCAAAAAAATCATAATCAATGAATGACTTCCCATCCCTCCAAAAAACATTTGTCATTTTATTTTCTTGATCCACTTGCACATCATAAGAAAACATCGAGTCTTCACTTTGTCTTCTTAAAATGATTAATTAAGCTTTGTGCATCACCGGGCTCAATCAACCTTATTTTTTCTTTACCAACGAAGTTATAACAATCTCTTTTAGTAAACCCAAGGTACTCACTACCCCCAACTTCTCTCGCCATATAAGCAAAAGCATCCTTCGTTCTTATGCCGGCATTAACCATTGTGCTAATAACATTAGCCTTTGGAGTTGTTAAGGCTCTATTTGATCTCAATAGGTGAGCTTCGGAAGGTAAAGCTAGTTCATGATTATGTATTAAGACAAAGTGTGTGACAACCCACAAACCATCTTTAATTGTTAATTTGATCATTGCTCCACAATCACTTTTTATTTCAAATCTATTACGCCGATTTGTTGAGGGGATCCGTTTTAACTTTACCGAGCTTTGGAACATCGAAACTCTCTTTGGCGAAGTGCGTGAGACTTTCCACTCGCTATATCTCGACTTAGAACGTCTAACACTAAAACCCGTTCTAATAGCATACTCGTTATAGAAATTATACGCTTCTTTCTCGTTGTTGAATACTTTTCCCATCAAATTATCACACTCATTATGACTTCTATTGACATAAAGAGCATTCTCCTCAATGATCACATCATCAACATTAACTTCGTAGCACATGCCTACACGAGAAAAACAAACAAGGAAGAAAATAAATATGTAAATTAAATAATTCTAAACTTAACTAATTAAAAATATATTTATGAATTTCACCTTGAGTTTCGTGGTAAGAATCTTCCATTTTCAATTTGCAATCCTTTTTCTTGTCTCTTCGTCGCTGCTGATGGTCGCAGAAAATAAAAAATTCAAGGCAATTGCCGATTTTTTTTATTTTGAAACTACACTTCTAATTTTTTGTCTCATACCGTCAATGAAAGTATAAGAATATGATGAGTACTATATTTAAATTTCTCATTATGCTTGCATAAAGAAATAGGATAATTAAAAAGTAAACAAAAAATTCGTTATATATCGGTGGCGATACTCGATTCGGACTTTGAAATAAAAGCAAAACAAACGAGCGTAGGTTTTCAATATTTATTCATGAGGGATGGGAACCAAACAATCACGAATTTCTTCTTGATAAAACAGGGGATGGAGCTAATGAGAGAGGGGAAGGAAAACGCAGCAACAAAAGCTCTCGCGACACAAGTCAAATTCGCTTTCAAAATTATTTTCTCAATTTTGGGACTTGTCTCCATCTCCCTCTCGCTTAGTTAAATACACTCTGGATTGTTTTTTCGTGAAGCTTTGAATTCCCTAGTTTGTGTCCCTATCACCATGAATAGACAATCATAGATTTGCATATACAGGAGGTTTCACATAATTTTGGTATGGTATCCGTCTCCTCTCTCTCCTTTAGAAGAAAATTACGGACGAAAGTACGCTTGAAAGACGGGAATTCGTTGTGAACAAGTAATGAGCTTGAAGCAATTCAAAGTCTTTCCCGCCACCCACGAGAGAGAGAGACGACGGAGGAAGATGGAGGAAGGAGAGAGAGACGATGGAGGAAGAGCCACCCACGGAGAGAGAGAGACGGCGGAGGAAGAGCCACCCACGAGAGAGAGAGAGACGGCGGAGAAGAGCCACCCACAGAGAGAGATTCTTCTATTTAAGGAGAGAGCGAGACGAGAGGAAGATGGAAAAAAATTGTTTAAGTAATGGGCTTAAAGCAATTCGAGTCTTTCCCGCCACCCACAGAGAGAGAGAGACAAGGGAGGAAGATGGAGGAAGGAGAGAGAGACGGTGGAGGAAGACGAAGGCACCCGGAGAGAGAGAGAGAGAAACGGCAGAGGAAGACCTCTGCAAAAGTTTATTATTGTTTTGCAGCAAGGGTAGTTATCTAACGTGTCAAACAATTTGAGTAATTAATATACACATGTCAAAAAATAAATGGAGGGGTCCTTATCTGATATGGAGTTCCAGGACCCCTGTATAATTTCTCTAAAAAAAGTAGGATTGTTTTAAACTTATTTTGTAATGTAGGATACTATATGCCATGTAAGCTCCATCTAAATAATTTTTATATTTTTTTTATCTTACTATACTAATAAAACTCTAATTAAAACTAAAATATTATTTCATAAATAATTAAATCAATTTTAAACTCAAAAATTGAAATCTACCATTTTGATAGGGGAAGTGAGTGTTTGCGGTAGGTTTGGCATGGGAATTGTTTAAACTCTTTCTGTATCTTTTCTTCTTTCTTGCCTTGTTCTTTCATGCAAAAAAATCTGAATAGATTGATCTAATATTGCTCTTCTCCTCTGTTACCTGTTGCTTTTGCATTTATATTAATTTGTTCATCTTTTCCTTTTCATTTAGTATTCCTTTGTTTTATAATTGCTCTTCAGCACCAGTTTTCTTTCTTGATATTCAATTTCTTGACCTGCTTTATTATCTTTTAAATATTGGAGAATCTTGGGTTTTATGGGTAAGTATAAATTCAACTCCATCCATTCATTCTCATTGCACTAGTAATAGCAGTACACTTTCTTTAAGTCTCCACCATGCATATCCAATCAGCTGTGATTTTGAATATCATGATCAAAAAGCGTGAAATTTATTTGCAAGCACTTTCGCCTTTTCTGATGTAATTTCCATCAAAAAACGTGCTTGGCTCACAACTTGCTTAGCAACTAGAGGAGCATCCTTGTCAAACTTAATTTTTGGCTTGTCTACCTGCGACAATCAAACATAGAGTGATCTCACAGTCGAGAGGAGATCTAGATGCACACCATGAAGGCCCTGTGTTTGGATCAGGATTTAGTTAGGATCTTTGTGGGTTTTTTTTTTCTTTTTTTTCAATAATTAAAAAAAAGATATGGAGATGAAAAAAAAAACTGATGTGATAAAAAATATCTTTGTTTAGAAATTAAGTTTAAAAATATTGTATTTAAAAAATAAAAATTAAAAAATATGTTGATTCAGGAAAAAACTTAATAAAATATGTTCGAACGTTAATAATTGATTGATAAAGCCGTAAGTAAATTCTTTATAGAGTGTTTATTTAAAAAAAAATGGAAATTTGATTTTTATCTATTGCTTGTATTTTGTAATCGATTGTATATTTTCATTCTCACGCATTATCATAATTAGTTTTAAAAAAAATTCTTAACTTCGACCATGATATAAATACGATAAAGATCTTTCTAGAAAAAAAAGTTGTATGATATTTACGCAATGCTACATATTTCTATTTCTCCGTGTTTCACACAAAAATAAAATAAATTATATGCATATATAGTTGAATATAAATTAAATTGGAAAGCCCGATCCATATTTCATCATAAGAAGTGGTAATTATTTTGCGTAACGTACGTAAATACTCATTGGCCATCGTCCATTGAACCTCTCGTCATAAAAAATAATAAAATAATATACATACACACACACGAATTAGCCGGTGTAAAACTGTGTCCTGATTATTATCCCCAACTAAGCAAATGATCATGACAATCATATCGTTGAATAATTAGAATCTGTCTTTATTATTTGATAAATGACTCCACGTGCCAAACATAAATAATAATAAAAAAAGGAGAAATGGTACGAATTGGCCAGTATTTAAATAAAAAAAGAGTTGATTTTAATTTATTTCCTCGAGGTTTGGGGAGAATCCAGTTTCATCCCATGATATTTTAGTTATATCAATGTCTTTCTTGCGGTTTCAAGTACCTGGCAGTGATCCTCTAAAGATTTCAATGACATATCAATGTTCTTTTTTAAATTACCCAAACCAACATAAAAATATTTTTCTAGTCTCTAATTTTTTGAAATTTGAGCAATTAGAGCCCTATTAAAATAATTTGACTAGATTAAATCTTTTTTTACAATTAAAAACCCTAATAATAACATGTATGTTATTTATATTTTAAATTATAAGACACATTGCTAATAAAAAATTTAACAAATAGGGATTTGATTGCATAAACGTTTTTTCTTTGGAACCATAATGTTGTTTGTGAAATATTTGAGGGCCAAACTAACTTTGTTTAGTAATTATAAAGACTAAAATAAAATTTTATGATAAATTATTTTTAAGTGGATTTTAAATAGACGGATAAATCAAGTATAAAAGTGTAATTTTTTAATAGATATAGACTGAATGGTTTGTTATATATTCTACTATTTTTTATAATTTTTATTTATATTTTTAAATATAAATTATTTACGTATTTGAACTTTTTAATTGAAAGTAGAAGATTTTATCCCATCAAAAAATTTACAAAAAGTTTTATTTGATCAAATTAAAAAATTCAGGGGTTGAAGAAAAAATTTGATAGCTGATCCAATATTGCAAGATTGCAATTGGGAAGATGAAATTAATACAATTAAAACCTTACAGAGAGAAATCGAAATCTCCCCAAGCCTCCGACTAAATTAAATTTATCCAATGAAGAACAATGGCTAAAAAAGTCCAACAATTCGTGAAGTTTGACTTATTTGAAGTTAAGTCTCTATATATATATATATATATATATATATATATATATATATATATATATATATATATATATATAAAAGTTTTCAAGATTTTTGAACTTTTAATTTTTTTAAAATTTAACTTATTTTTCATTTTCTATCATTTATTTTTTTAAAAATAATAACTACATAAATAGTTTTATGATAAAAATTATCTAATGAGATTTATGTAAGACTATTAACAAAAATAGAATTATTTTGAAATTATTTTATTTTTTTCTGATTTTTTATATTTTTAATGTCTAATAAATAAATAAATAAATATAAAAAAATGAAAAGATAATAGCTGAAAATCATTTAATAGAATAAATTTTACACAAATTAAAAGTTGACTAATCTCAAAACCAACAAATAAGTTCAGAAATTTAAATTCAGATAACAATGATGGATCCATGTGGTAAAAAATAATTGTAAACCATGCTGAGCTATTCTGTCTCTTGAGCTTATCTTTTAAAGCCGGCCCAGGTTATGCGGACTTCATATGGAATAGTCACTGTCGTCGAGACCAAATAGTATTATAAAAATACGCACACGAGACCAGAAAACGAAGACAAAATTAATTAGTCAAATTTAATATTCATACGTCTGAATAAGGTTGAAGCTTATTTATCATCCACGTACCGACAATAAGTTTACGCCGCCCCCACATTTGCAAAGGACCACCAGGTCCACGACACGTCCATGTTGGCTCTGTCGATCAGCTTTAACGTTATGGGAAAACCCATCCGAACCTAATTCAACCAGCAGTAGGGAAGAGCCAGAGCCATTTATTTACGTCAAGCAAAATATTTCAGATCAGGTGTTTTATGGTTTCTTTGATTGAGGTGCCATATTTATAAGATCATAGAACCTCATGCCCAATATACACTGTCCGGTGAGAGGCTTCAAGTTCATCCAGAAGGGTTGCTCTTAACAAAATCTACTATTTAACCGTGTTGAATCGGCCTCAGTGAGAAAATAAATTGATAAAATTTTTAATATTCTTGATAGAAATAACTAGGGATACATGACGAGAAATTTTATAATATTTAAGAATAATTACTGGATATATATAATAATTATTATATAAATTTATTTTTCAAAAGATAAATATATATATTAAAAAAAATCACATCCGAATACATAAAAAATAATAAAAAAAATTTCTATCTCGAGTTAATTTATTTTTTTAATTTTTTTTATCTCTTATTCGTATCTACTTTTTTTATAAAGTATTTTATATTAATTATTTTTTTAGTACAAACAAAAGGGATTGAGACAGGTCGCACCACTTCTATCTCCTCCTCGAATTAGTCGGGTTCTTGGAAGGAAGAGATATCTTCTCTTTCAAGTTTGTGACAGATTCAGAGATTTTTCATTGATAAAAATATAATTTTTTTGGATCTATAGTCAACATTGATGGTTAATAGTCAATGAAAAAAATAAATATTAAATCCGTATATGTTGAATTTACTATCACTCTAATACATGGTTAAATATAAATTTAATTATACATTTATTTTAAAATATTATTTTTCAAAAAATACACAACGAAAGACTAAACATAAAATATATAAATATGTATAATAAGATTCGAGTTTTTTACAAGATGCAGGTATGTTTCCCACCTTCATCTCTATTTGTTTATTTTCATGTTTTCATATTGGATTTTATCGATTATTGTTTTAGACGAATAATTTTAGCATCTCTAAAAGTAATTCTTTTTTTTTTTTTTTGTAAGAGTAAAAAGACAAGAGGACAAAAAAAAAAAAAAAAAAAAAAAAAAGAAAATGACTCCCCGACTCTTGAACACATGGATGAATCACGCTTCAATTGCTACGTGGCAACTATATATGTATGGATAAGCATGTGTGAAATAATTTGAATATGTTGTTCATATTCAAGAATAAAGCTATAAAAGGAAATAATCAACTATCTCAAAATATAAATTTGGCATGTCAAAGCAATTAACGAAACAGCTACGAGAAATGGAACCTTGATTGTTCATCTAAAAAATAATCTCTTCTCATAAAATACTCAATATACAAACCCTCATATTTATTATTTATGATGGTATTTTTATGATTTTAAGATTTTTTTAGCTATTTGAGTGATCAAATTAACTAATGTTACACATGATTCTTGAATTTTTTCACGGAATTTGTTTCAATTTACAATTTTATTTTCATCATAATTTGGTCATTAGATGTAAAGAGAAGAGAAAACGAGGAGAAAAAAGAGTGAGGGGAGAGAAAGTTAAGGAGAATTCCATTTCAATCATTGTAACCGTTGATAATGGCTTCAACGTGTTCATTTTGGCAAAAGAAATTTGCTTACGGTGGTCTCAAACTATAAAATAGTTGAAGAAAAAAGATTTAGTGCCGAGAAAATTAGAAATTCGCTAAATAGCAACGAAATTTAGTAACGAGATGAACGTCCTTTGCTAAATAGAAAGTAAATAGCAGCAAAATAACTATTGCATAATTTAGCAACGGACTAGAGATGGAATAGTGATCATATTTTAGCAATGGACGGAAATCCGTCGCTAAATTTAATCCTAAAATCTTCCCGAGAGTTTTAGAGATGGTTTAATGATGAATTTGTTAAGAAAAATAGTGACGAAATAGCAAGTTTGTAATATCCAGATTTAATTTTCATGCTTTAT